GGAGTTTGCAGTGAGCCGAGATCGCGCCACTGCACTCCAGCCTGGGTGACAGAGCGAGACTCCGTCTCAAAAAAAAAAAAAAAGATTCTTCTCTGAAGCCTTACCACTTTCCTAAGCAGTATTCTTTGGGGAGTTCTCACCACTGAATATAGAGTGCTCACACACATCTAGTGTTTTATATTTAAACTTAACACATGCACATAGAATCAGTCTTCAAAGAATTTCAAATTACAAGTCTGGATCTAGAAAGACCCTGGCCAATCCAGAGTGTGATCACTGGACACCATTATTTAGCAGGGCAGGGCCACGCTAGAGAAATGTCTGATGATCCGTGACTGCTGGAGACAGAGGCCCTGCCAAAGAACCTGAAAGGACTTTCCAGAGAGAAAAAATTGGGGTTAAACAAAGAGCTAAATTTAGTTGCTTCCTGAATGTGTTTTCCCAATCAACAGACCTAAAACAACACTGTTCCCCATCACAACACACACAGCTGGCAAAGAGTACTGCCAAGAGGAGTATAAGCAATTAGTGAAAAATAGCTTATGTACTTGGTTGATACCACTTAGCATGAAGTCAATATATAGGGCACCAGCAGCAAGCTATCAGAATCCTAAATCCCAAGCCATCACCAAATGAGCAATAAACATGTTCTTTTGCTACAGTGGGGATTAGTAGAAAAGTACTTGGTATTCTAGGATATGAATGCCACAAGGCCAGACTGTGGGAACTCTCCAAGTTACTTCTGTAAACTGATGGTCTATTCCTGAGACAGTACAGTATTAAAGAAAAGACTACAGAGATGTCCCTCAACTTAAAATGGGTGTTATCCCAATAAACCCGTCGTAAATTGAAAATATCTAAGTTGAAAATGCATTTAATACACCTAATCTACCAAACAAACACCATAGTTCAGCCTAGCCTACCTTAAACCTGCCCAGACCACTTACATTAGCCTACAGTTGGACAAAATCATCTGGCAAAACAGTACACTGTAGAATACTGGTTGTTTACTCTCATGGCTGCATGGCTGACTACTGTGGCTCCTGCTGCTGCCCAGCATTGGAGAATATCATACCTGCATATTGCTAGCTCAGGAAAAGATGTCAGTTCATAATTTGAACTACAGTTTCTTTCTTTTTTTTTTTTTTTAGACAGAGTCTCAGTCTGTCGCCAGGGCTGGAGTGCAGTGGCATGATCTCGACTCATTGCAACCTCCACTTCCTGGGTTCAAGCGATTCTCCTGCCTCAGCTTCCCAAGTAGCTGGGATTACAGGCGCCTGCCATTACCAGCTAATTTTTTGTATTTTTAGTAGAGACAGGGTTTCACCATATTGGCCAGGCTACTCTTGAACTCCTGACCTCGTGATTCACCCGCCTCGGCCTCCCAAAGTGCTGGGATTACAGGTGTGAGCCACCCCGCCCGGCCTGAACTATAGTTTCTACTGAATAAGTATTGCTTTCACATCATCCTAGAGTCAAAAAATAAGTCTAACCATTGTAAGTTGGGGGATCATCTGTAGTCTATTTGCCATTAAACTGCCCTTCTCTTCTTATATTTTTGCTCATTTTTTATTCACATTTAGAAGAGAAAAGGAGATGTGATGGGTAAGGTTTTCGTGGGTTTTTTTTTTGACACAGGGTCTGGCTCTGTCATCCAGGCTGCAATACAGTGGCATGACTTTGGCTCATTGCAGCCTCAACCTCACGGGCTCAAACGATGCTCCTACCTCAGCCTCCTGAGTAGCTGGGACTATAGGCACGTGCCACTGTGCCCAGTTAATGTTTTCTATTTTTTTGTAGAGACAGGGTCTCACTTTGTTGCCCAAGCTGGTCTTGAACTCCTGAGTTCAAGCAATCCTCCCACCTTGGCCTCCCAAAGTGCTGCGATTACAGGAGTGAGTCACTGCATCTGGCCAATGGAAAAGCCTTTACCAGCCGGGCGCGGTGGCTCACGCCTATAATCCCAGCACTTTGGGAGGCCGAGGCGGGTGAATCACGAGGTCAGGAGTTCAAGAGCAGCCTGGCCAATATGGTGAAACTTCATCTCTACTAAAAATACAAAAATTAGCTAGGCATGGTGATCCCGGCTACTCACAAGGCTGAGGCAGGAGAATTGCTTGAACCCGGGAGGTGGAGGTTGCAGTGCGCTGAGAGCTGAGATCATGCCACTACACTCCAGCCTGGATGACAGAGCAAGACTCTGTCTTTAAAAAAAAAAAAAAAAAAAAAAAAAGGCTTTACCTCTCTGGGCCTCATGTCCTCATCTGTAAAATGAGAAAATTATACGAGGTGATCAACTAACACTAACATTTTATGGTCTTAGACTGTTTCCCTATATAATCTAGTTTGCCTTTTTTCACCCAAACATTTGGATGGCAGATCCAGTGGAGAAAGATCAATGGAGAAACTGCATTGACTGACTGCCCCTCAGTGAAAACCTGCTTGAGGATTGTGCCTTGGAACTGGAACACAGAGAAAAAACCCCTGTAGAAGAAGCTGCTCAGTAAGATAACTGCCTGCTTGCTCTATTTCCAGCACAGACACTGCTTGGCAAAAGGGCTTCATTTTCACTCCTTGTCAATGTTAAGAACAAAGAGAAAAACCAGATGGCATAAAGTTGCTGGGCTTCTTTCCCCCTCATTGAACCAGTCGAGTGCAACTGGTCACTACATACCACAAGACGCCACACCCAAGTTTATGGCTAAGGACCAGCACATGTGGTTTGTAGTAAGTTTATTGATAGGAAAACAGTTTTATATGACAGAACTTTTCACTTCAGTCATCAAAAACAAAAGAGGTGTGAAGATCAAGTTGGGAAGCCAGAGTGTGCAGTAGGAAAAATTTCTACCTCTGCTTTTGTTCACGTTAGTAAATATTTTCTCAGGCTCTGTTAGATCTGAGAATCCTCCCTGATTCTCACTGTTATTCTTACTCTTAGCCACTTGACTCCAGGGCAGATCATAATCTTCCCAAGTACAAAAAATCCTGAAGTGTAGGGCCGGGTGCGGTGGCTCATGCCTATAATCCCAGCACTTTGGGAGGCCAAGGTGGGTGGATCATGAGGTCAGGAGTTCAAGACCAGCCTGGCCAATATGGTGAACCCCATCGCTACTAAAAATACAAAAAAATTAGCTGGGCATGGTGGTCCCAGCTACTCGGGAGGTTGAGGCAGGAGGATCGCTTGAACCTGGGAGGTGGAGGTTGCAGTGAGCCGAGATCGCGCCATTGCACTCCAGTTGGGGCAACAGAGTGAGACTTCATCTCAAAAAAAAAAAAAAAAAAAAAAAAAAAAAAAAAATTCCTGCAGTGTAAATAGTTTCAGGGAAATCACACACTGCATAATCCAACAGCCTCAGCAGTAGCACTTGGACTACAGATACAGAGAGCTAGCAGCAGGAGCAGCTTTTTTTTTTTTACAAAGATGGCAATAAAAAAAGGAAGCAGTCAGAGGAGGATAGTTGGCTGATCTGGAGGAGTACCAAACTTAACAGATGATAACTGCCTTTGAAAGGCTTAAAACATAGCAATTTAAATTAAACCCGATTCCGAGCTAGGCTGTTTGCCTTTACACAGGTGTTAAAAATGAAAGGACTTTGGCAAGTTACACTGTCACTGTCACTGCCACTTAAGGACACCACCTTAGTAAACAGGCATGCCTACCAGAATCTGCCAGCAAAAGACTGACATAATTCAGCAGTCTTGGTTTTTTTTAGCAGTCTTTCTTAGCCTGACAGTTGGCCTATTTTTTTTTCACATGGAAAGCACAAGCAAGCTACTATACTCAGCAAAACCAAATACAACCGAGTCTTACTATTACCTATAAAAAAAGCCATGTCTGACTTTGCTCCAAATGCAATTAGCTGCATCCACTGTTCTCCTTATAGCAGCTACCAGCATTCAAGATTTATATTCCTTATATTCCAAACTTTAAACCAAAATAAAAATATTATACTCAATTCCTTCTCTACTTACTAAAATGATTATTGACTTCCCCTTTAGCTCTTAGATCATTCAATAACAACAATTTTCAAACCATATTCCAAGAAGCCCAGTTGGTAATGTGGTTTGGTGGGAAGGGATGAGACAGGGATGTGGTGAATTACCTCTCTCACAGCTGCTTTAATCTGTTTTCTATGCCATGGGTTTGAAGAAAATGTTCTAACGCTAAAACAAGAAACAATAATCACTGAGGTAACAGAACTAGATTGTCATCTACAGTGGCCTACATAAGGTACTATACTGTTACATGAAATTAGCCAACTTTCAATATCCTGGGCTAACAGGAGATAAGAACAGCATAGTAAAGAAATGTAATTTATTAAAACTCTATTTTTAGCCAGTGATTCCAATCATCCATCTTAAACTGTTTTTTGCAACAACAAATACTTAGTAAAACAGAGTTGAAGTCTGGTGAAATATATGGGCAGTAACAGGGAAGCCAAAGTAAAAACAGATCTGAATATTTGAATCTACATAGCAGGTCCTTTGCCTGTAATTGTTACTCACAACATACTAAGTAAGTAGTAGGTCAGATCCTGCCAGATACAGGATATACACAGACATCTAGAGAAATTACCCCCTAACCGTGGCAGAATGCTGTTATTGGCTGCAGTCCCCAAGAGACAATAATACTGGGCCAGCCACCAAGCCACTTAAATGAATTCCTAGTGTGAGATTCTGACTCAGAAGCCAGGTCTTTCTGTTTTAAGCACAAGAGAAAGGCAACAGCAACCAGCAGGATGTGGGACCTGGCGCGACTCACCCGTACAGAACTCCTTGCTCACGTTGTGGGGCACTGTGATCCGTCGGTAGACAATGGGCTCTGACTCCAAGATGTTCTCATCATGGCGGTACCGAGTTGGCCTTTCATTTGGGATGCCCCGGGAACGGGTACCACTTCTCCTTTCATAGGTATCAATCTCCTCAAACACAGCTGCCTTGTCAAAAAGAGCCAAGTTCCCTTCAAAATCAAAATCTGTGTCTGGGATCTCCTCAATATCATCCCCGAAGCACTCGTCATCTTTATTCTTCATCTGGCCATTCTTTAAACCACTCTTCTTTGGAGTTGCCTGATTTGGGTGCCTGCTACTAGATGACCCTGGAGAAAAAATAGGGACTAAAGTCAGTGTATCCACAGAAAGCACTAAGTGAAAGTGGAAAATACAGTACATCAGTCCTTTGTGGAGAGCGTTACAGGAACCAATGTGAAAATGGTAAAGGTAAGTACTGCAAAATCATATTAAGTAGCACAAACAACAAATCTCATTTGGAATAATAGGTTTCAAACATCACCCAATCTGGGCACGGTGCTCACGCCTATAATCCCACGTTAGGAGGCTGAGGCAGGAGGATTGCTTGTGCCTAGGAGTTCAAGGCTGCAGTGAGCTATGATCACGACACTGCACCCCAGCCTGGGCAACAGAGCAAGAACCTGTCTCAAAACACACACACACACACACACACACACAACAACAACAACAATAATAAATATTACACCCAAGTAACTTGTTAATGAATATGAACTAAGCAGTACTTCTGGAAATCTTAACCAGTTATCCCCTTCATAAGGAAACTGGTAATGACAAAAGCTTTTCTGACAACTTACTATTAGCAAACAAGAGGAAGAGTAAGAACATAGCATGGTGGTTTTGATACGATAGAGGCAGGAGGCAGAGAAATTCTAGAGGCAGGTCGCTGGCGAAGCCCCACCTTCGAAGCTGAAAAGTGTGAGATTGTGGCCCAAAGTGAGAACTTATATCCCTGTTTTCCCACCAGAATGTTGCCTTTTCTTAAACCACCCATGACCCTGCACCACCCTATCCCGTGCCTATAAAGACCCCAGACTCAGTCAGCAGAGATGAGAAACAGCTGGACGTTGGAGACTACGGCTGGATGTCAGAGAAGTGGCTTGACTTCAGAGGAACTGCTTGACTGTGTAACTGTGGAGAAGAATCCGGCTGGAGACAGCCAGACTTCAGGGGAAAATTACCTATCCACCACCCACTGTCCCCTTTTCAGCTCCCCTTCCCACATAAATAAAAAATAAAATCACCCACATTTACCATCCTTTAATTCGTTCATGTGACCTCATTTTTCCTGGACACTGGACAAAAGCTCAGAAGCCATGAGTGCAGATACAAAAGGCTGTCACATTGGCCCTTTGCCCTCACTGGCAGAGGGCAGCTGCAGGCCCACTGAGCTGTTAACACTTAAGCCATCTGTGGATGGCAGAGCTAAAAGAGCACCATAACACATCCTCTAGGGCTTCAGGAGTTACAGGCACCCCACGTAGGTGCTGCCACATGGCCTGCACTGAGTTCGCTCCTTTTGGTGCCCAAGAGCGTTCGTTCTGGCTCCTGCACCTGCTCATCTATGCACTCACTCCCACAATGGGTAGAACACAGCGGGTCTGAGTGGAGTTTGATCCCACTGGCACTGAAACAGCCGGTTCCAGGGCTTGTGCACTCCAGTTCCTGCCTCATTCACTCGCACACTCCCTTCAGCAAGGAGTTGAGAGCAGTGGGCGGAGTAAATGAGGTACCCCGTCATGAGTTCCATGAATAGGTCAAGGAAGGGAAATATCCTGCTTCAGTTTGAGTCTGAACGTCTGGCAGTTGTTTAAGAGAGAAATACCCCTAGACTAAAAGAAGGCCTGGTCTTCTTTTAGCTTACAGGAAAATACTATTCAGCTAGTCCTTAATTCTATGCTTACCCAGCAAGCAATCTTCTGATTTTTAATTTGGCCTTAGGCTAGATCCCAGCAGTGGGGAATCCCTGGTTTGTTCAAGAAATTCTACATTCTGAGCCAGGTATACACCTACCAATACAAATTGCTATACTGACTTACAAACCTTTCTTTAGACCTTTCGGTTAATGTGATCTCTTTTCTCAGAATTTTCTCTCTTCTGGGTAAGCAGTTTCTGAAACACCAAATAATGAGGGTCCATACTGAGCTGATCCTTAGAGGCCATACTAATGCACATCCACAACACAGTAGCCAGCCACACCCTGTCTCTGACACCCTATTTGGCTACCACACATCAGTCAACAACTACTCTAGCAGCCAAGGCAGAAGGTCCCACAGAATTCTCCAAACCACCCACCCCCAGAGAATCAAGCTCTGGTCTCCATCTGACTACCCTGAAAGAGTGGATCAGGTGACTGGTATGCTAGACTGAACCTCTATCACAGTCTAAATAAATGGAAGGAGGGGTTTCACCATGTTGGTCAGGCTGGTCTGGAACTTCTGACCTCAGGTGATCTGTCCGCCTCGGCCTCCCAAAGTGCTAGGATTACAGGTGTGAGTTACCACCCCCAGCTGTGTGTACATTTTCTAGACATTATCCTCTGTGTTCTTTTAACTTTGCCTAGACCATGACTGTGTGCCAATAAAACTTTATTTACAAAAACAGGCAGTGGGTTGGATTTGGCCCATGGGCTACAGTTTGCAGACTTTTGACGCAGAGTATACACTTAGGGTGAAGTTAATTCGTAATAGTTAATGTGGATTCATGTTTGGAATGACCTTCTTGATACTTTTTAATTTGGGAGACCATCTTCATAGATTTGATTAATTTTTGACAACCTCATTCTAGCTAAAGAAGGCCTATAAGAGGAATAGGGAAAGTGTTCTGCCATTTTCTTGTTTACTTATGATTACATTAGTATTATCGTTACTTAACATATAGTTTCTTTATGAGAATCTTTTTAAGCCACATATACATTTTTATATGATTTAGTTAAAAATTGGCATGGTTGTAGAGTGTGAATGCACTTAATGCCACTGAACTGTACACTTAAAAATGGTTAAAATGGTAAATTTTATGTATATTTTACTGCAATTTTTAAAAAATGATGTATACCCACTAGCATGGATAGACTTCTTGTTATAGAAAGTCATATTTTCCTCAGATATCTCAAATACAGGCAGCAATTGGCTGGCATGGAACTTCATAAGGGTGCTAGTTTTCATCAATACATTAAAATTCATAAAGTTTAATTTCTACTGTTTTTAGTTAAAATAAAAAATAGAATATTCAGTATCTTCTTCCTACGTCCTGGTGAATCATTCCGTCCACACCTGGGGAAACACATACCCACTGAAGAGTGACCACTGGGCAAGAGACCTACTTCTAATAGGATGTTTTGATTTAATACTGAGGCAGTACATTGATAATCCTTATTCTCTTGTTCTTCCCTTGTCTGTGTATATTGCTACTGGTGTTATCCTGACCTTATATTTTCATACCCATTCTTTCTTCCTGATTCAGCTCTGCTTTCTCATCCCATCTCTATTAAACACACAAAAAAATTCACTGGGCATGGTGGCACACACCTGTAATCCCAGCTACTCGGGAGGCTGAGGCACGAGAATCGCTTGAACCCAGGAGGTGGAGCTTGCAGTGAGCCAAGATTTCACCACTGCACTCCAGCCTGGGTGACAGGGCGAGCCTCTGTCTCAAAAAAAAAAAAGAAAAAAGAAAAAAGAAAAAATGTACACACAATGCAAAAATGAAAAATGATTCAGTACAGCACAACGGTCAAATAAATAATTCAAAGGTAATAGGAAATGAGTATTCCTTTTTAAAAATAATGTTTGTTAACAGATGTTCATACCAGATAATGCACAAAATATGTAGAAAATTCTAAATATTCACATAATATTTTGATTTTTCTTTTAGTAAAAAATTTGCATCCATCTTATGAAGTTTTATATCCTGCTTTCTTGCTCAGGAGCATCCTTGAGTTTCATGAAAAAATTCTTCAAAGACTGTATCTTACTTTTTATAACTGCATAAATCATAGATCATACCATATTGATATACAGCACATAGATCATACCTACTGATTAACTTTTAAGTTATTTCTCATTTTTGCTGTTAGACTCAGCCCAAACACACTATCTTTGATTACTCTTGCTAAAAAAATCACTCCCATTTGACCACTTACAACACTGTGGGTACCACTGACCTAGCACTTATGCTATATTACCAACTTTGTTCTGTAGTTAATCTGTGTTCTTGCTCTAACTTCCCAAGGAGTTTATAAGCCAACAGAGGACAGGAATGATGTCATTCACACGTGTCACCCAACACTGTGCCGGGTTCAGTGTAAGTACACAAAACTCCGCTGAATTAAGAAATAAAAACAGTTACATATATATTTTAAAAAAGCAAACACTAGCCAATCAAAAGTTAAAAGTCTAAAAAGAGGTTATAAAAAAAGGGCAACTTGACATTAACTACAAGAAAAAGCAATAAAAATCATGCCAACTTTGTTGCATGACTGAAAAGGCCAGGAAGATAAAGTTGTTGACAATAATATAATACAAAAGAGTTATGAAGCAAGGGCTTCAGTGGAAAAAGTTCAGTCATGTCCAATATGACTGACAATGAACTATCCTGGAACTATTACAATGACTGATGAAAATAAGCAGTTGAGGCCGGGCGCGGTGGCTCAAGCCTGTAATCCCAGCACTTTGGGAGGCCGAGACGGGCGGATCATGAGGTCAGGAGATCGAGACCATCCTGGATAACCCAGTGAAACCCCGTCTCTACTAAAAAATACAAAAAAAAATTAGCCGGGCGAGGTGGCGGGCGCCTGTAGTCCCAGCTACGCGGGAGGCTGAGGCAGGAGAATGGCGTGAACCCGGGAGGCGGAGCTTGCAGTGAGCTGAGATCCGGCCACTGTACTCCAGCCTGGGCGACAGAGCCAGACTCCGTCTCAAAAAAAAAAAAAAAAAAAAAAAAAGAAAGAAAATAAGCAGTTGATCAATGAAGGAGAAGACAGGGTTAAGGAAGCAAAATGGGAAATCGTTCCCATTCAGATAAAACCCAAAGCTCCTGAAACCAGGTGACCAAGAATAAAGCTCAGAGGAAACAGGATACAGATACTGCTAAAGAGGAACAGGTAGAGGCACAAAAACAGTCATAGGAGAAAACAGGAAAGAATCTAGAATCCAAAGACCCAAATACTCTGAAGGCAGGTCAGACTTCCCAAATGACACTGGTAGAAGGTCAGTTATCCTGGAACTAAAGTTTGAAAAGCATGAGCTGGCCTGGCAAGGTGGCTCACACCTGTAATCCCAGCACTGTGGGAGGCCAAGGTGGGTGGATCGCCTGAGCTCAGGAGTTTGAGACCAACCTGGCCAACATGGGGAAACCTGTCTCTACTAAAAATACAAAAATTAGCTGGGCGTGGTGGCACATGCCTGTAATCCCAGCTACTCCAGAGGCTGAGGCAGGAGAATCACTTGAAACCGGGAGGCAGAGGTTGCAGTCAGCCGAAATTGCGCCACTGCACTCCAGCCTGGGTGACAGAGCAAGACTCTGTCTCAAAAAAATAAAATAAAATAAAACATAAAAAAGAAAAAGAAAAGCACGAGTTGCTTCTCTAACCACTAGCGCAGTATTTGTTAGCCCTAAACAGTGCACTAACCACTGAACACCAATATGAATGTTTGAAAGCACAAGCTGAGCATCCCTAATCCAAACATCCAAAATCCAAAAATTTCTGAGTGCCAACGTGGTGTTCAAAGAAAATGCTGATTGGAGCATTTTGGATTTCTGGATTAGGGATGCTCAACTGGTATGTATTCCAGAAATACTCCGAAATACTTTTTAAATAATCCAAAATCTGAAACACTTCTGCTCCCTAGCATTTTGCATAAGAGATACCCAACCTTTATTTGGGGGGAGAGAGTGCAGCGTAGAAAGAAAACTTTTGCTCAGTTTCAAAAAATAAAAAATAAAAATAAAAAGCTAAAAAATAGTACCCACTTCATATCATGCCACATGAGGAGGAGCTACTGAAATGCAAAGTAGAAAAGTAAAGAAAACAAACATGACTAGCTGTAAAGTTCGCTCAAAGCATGTTGACAAAGTGCCCCACTATAAAGACTAATAGGGTTCACAATGGGAGATGCCCTAATTCTGCCCTAATGATGCTGGGCACTGGTCACCGTTTTTTGGCTCAGCTGTAGGATTCTACAAACATAACTTACAACAAAACCCAGAGATGTGTATGTAGAAGGTTTCAGATGTTTTCCTGTACTCCTCTAAATGCAGAGTTGATTCATTCGAGACATAGACACTAAGGACCAGCTATGTTTTAAACACTGTCAGGAAAGTGGAGTGTGAAAAACATTTCCCAAGAGGAAATACTGACATCACAGGTCAGTAAGAGAATATAAAATAAATGCAAGGCAGGCTAATGTGCTCAGTTGTCTCTTATTCTTCCCTTTCCTCTTACTTTAATACAAATATTAGGAAGTCCTGAGTGAATAAGCTGTCTCAGTACTTGGCTAACTCAGCCCAAAGGGCCTGGCTCTGCATTAAACTGGCCTTTGGCCACTGCAAGAGAAAAACACTTCCATTGGAAAAGATAAACAGTCTTCCCAGATTTCTTTACCTTTCAATTACAAGGGCCATGCAAGTATTAAGACTGCAGGGGTCGGGCGCGGTGGCTCACGCCTGTAATCCCAACACTTTGGGAGGCCAAGGCGGGTGGATCACGAGGTCAGGAGATCGAGACCATCCTAGTTAACACGGTGAAACCCCGTCTCTACTAAAAATACAAAAAAATTAGCCAGGCGTGGTGGCAGGCGCCTGTAGTCCCAGTTACTCGGGAGGCTGAGGCAGGAGAATGGCTTGAACCCGGGAGGCGGAGCTTGCAGTGAGCCGAGATTGTGCCACTGCACTCCAGCCTGGGTGACAGAGCGAGACTACGTCTCCAAAAAAAAAAAAAAAAAAAAAAGACTGCAGGCTGGCCGCCTTCCTGTGCCGTTTTTCTGCCAGCCTTTGGCACAGAGGCCCTTTGGCCAGGACAACCTGTAACAAACCCATTGTTGTGTAACCCTCAATGCCACTTATTTATTGGTTTTTGTCACACACACACTGTAAGGGGGAACTTTGTCCTGCACTTACCACACTAAAGGGTACCTGAAAGTTAAACTACAAATGTTTTACTGCCAGATTCAACAGGCATCATGAGAAGGTGCCTGAGAATATATGGGACCTTCTTCTTAACTCTCAAATTCTAGGCCTTGGGTTTTCAAGCCTATTAGATATATGAAGCACATCCAAGGAAGTTTAAAAGTCAAGAAGACCTCACTAGGACCATGAAAACTTGGCAAAATTCACTTCCTGCCTCAGGTGGCGGGATGACTGTTAAAATGAACAGACTGTTAAAGCCCAACCATATTGCAACAAGATAATATTGACCTTCTTTCCATTTAAAAGGTTCAATACCATTTCTCATTTCTCTCCACCTCCAGTAACAAAGAGAAAAATGAAAATCAGCGCTAAACAGAGGCAATGTCGTGCCTATAGGACCACCTCTCTCTAAATATAAATGAACTAAAGGCCAGCTATCTACTTCGTTTGTTTTGAGATGCAGTTTCACTCTTGTTGCCCAGGCTGGAGTGCAATGGCACGATCTCGGCTCATTGCAGCCTCCACCTCCTGGGTTCAAGCAATTCTCCTGCCTCAGCCTCCCGAGTAGCTGGGATTACAGGCATGTACCACCAGGCCCAGCTAATTTTTTGTATTTTTAGTAGAGACAGGGCTTCATCATGTTGGCCAGGCTGGTCTCAAACTCCTGATCTCAGGTGATTCGCCCACCTCAGTCTCCCAAAGTGCTGGGATTAGAGGCATGAGCCACCATGCCCGGCCTCAGCTACCTACTTTCATGTTCTACAGGCAAAAGAGCCTTAACTTAACTGTTAAATTTTTATTCAAATGCATGTTACCAATGACTATTCAAGTTCATAGACTAAGATTTCAGAGAGGGATGCCTTTCATCTGCCCCTCATGGTCACCATTTTTAACTGTGACATGGGATTTGATAAATATGAATTATACCCATACACAGAGCTGCATCCTAAACAAGGCTTGGTTTCCCTCTGCTCCCTAGGACTGATGTTATATCTATTTGACAAACATTCTGAATGGTCACAGAAAAACTATTCTTTATATGATTCTTTTTTTTTTTTTTTTTTTGAGACGGAGTCTTGCTCTGTCACCCAGGCTGGAGTGCAGTGGCCGGATCTCAGCTCACTGCAAGCTCCGCCTCCCGGGTTTACGCCATTCTCCTGCCTCAGCCTCCCGAGTAGCTGGGACTACAGGCGCCCGCCACCTCGCCCGGCTAGTTTTTTGTATTTTTTAGTAGAGACGGGGTTTCACCGTGTTAGCCGGGATCATCTCTCGATCTCCTGACCTCGTGATCCGCCCATCTCGGCCTCCCAAAGTGCTGGGATTACAGGCTTGAGCCACCGCGCCCGGCCTATATGATTCTTTAAACCCACTCCCACCCCAAGAGAAGAGATTAAAATCTGCTTGTGCTAAATTATCAATGTTGGATTAGGTAACTATTATAAACCAACAAATTCCTCAACTCCTTATTGCAATCCTGAAAGAACACTTAAAAGCCAGAAATGAAGACAGATTACATTTCCTTCTTTC